TTTTCAGAAAGCAAAGTGAAGGTAGATTGTGTAAGGGCTTATATGTCTAGAAATGCTTTTGCTCCTAAATTCCACCTTGATTGATTGGCTCTGTATAAAATTCCAGGATCAAAATGCTTTTCTACCTGAGCTTTGAAGGCATCATTCCATTGTTTTCTGGATTCATTGTTGCTGATGAGATGCTGTGCTCGTCAGCATTTATCACAGTGACAAAAAATACCTGCCAACAACTTAGAGGAGGAAAGATTGATTTTACTCATGGTCTCAGAGCTCTTAGTCCATGGTTGACCAACTCCCTGCAGACACTTCATGGTGGAAGGACGGCTCAGAGGAAGCTGCTTAGCTCATGGAAAGCAGAGAGGTGGGGGCTGGGGAACCAGGGAAACAGTAAGCCCTTCCAGGGCATGCCCCAAAGGACCTTTTTCCTTCAACAAGGACCACCTCCCAGTAGTCCATTCAGCTATCAATGGGCTAATCCACCAAATGGATTAATCCACTGCTGAGGTCAGAGCCTTCCATGATCCAATCATTTCCCCCAAAGTCACCTCTGAAGCTTGCTTTCAGCACCAATTTCAACAAAATGGCTTTTTGGAGGACATTCCAGATCCAAACCATAACAGGTGTCTTAAGCCAAGAGACTAGAAATAAAATAAAGATAGTACTAATAGACAAGATTAAGGTACAGTGGATTTTTGAGCTCACAGGATTTTCTGTTTCTGTTTGATCTAAAATGCCTAGAGGGTATTGAAGTTTGAGTCTTTCATTCATTTTTATTCATAATTTTCTTAGTGTTGGGAAATTTTTCTCTCGTTCTATCCTGAACTCTTCTGTCTTTTATCTCATGCCGTATATATTTTTCCAGTTCCTGGCCTTTAATCTGTTCTTTTCCTGACTTTATTCTACTGCTTTTCTTTTGTGGTTGTTTATTTTGCCAATAGTTTAATCCAACAAACTCTTGTTCTCTGATTTCTCCCTCTTTGTAGAAGTTTATTTTACTCCTAGTGCCATGGTGTCTTTTTTTTTGAGGATATGTATTAATACTATTTTGTGGTACTAGGGATTGAACCCAGAGGGGCTTAACCACTGCACCTCCTTTTCCTTTGCAATTTTGAGACAGGGTCTCACTAGGTTTCTTAGGGCCTCCAGTAAGTTGCTGAGTCTGGGTTTGAACTCGTGATCCTCCTGCCTCAGCCTCCCAAGATGTTGGGATTAATTATAGGTGTGCACCCGGCAGAATTATAGTTAGTTTTAAGATTTTCTTTCATTCCCTACATTATGTTTTCTCTGGGATATTTTGTTGGTTTTGCTCATCATGGTCCTTCTCCTTTGCATTATTTTTGGCAGGTGTTGGGTGAATTGTGTTTTCATTCAAGTTGATTAATACAAGGAGCAGCAGGGGTGGCTTCCTGTCATGATGAGCTCCCACTGAATGAAAACGCCCACTCTTATGTGCACAGTTGGGTTTTTCTAGCTACCAGGCCTTGCCTACATTCCCAAGAAATGTCGCATCAAGGAGCCCACTGCCCGAGCTCACTGCCCTGTGTGAGTTTCTGCGTGTGTGCATGTGCATGAGAGAGGGGTGGGGGTGAGGGGGAGGGTGTGCTGTGTGCACACCCACATGCTTACCCACGGGGTAGGGCGGCCTCTCGCTTCCTGCCATTTCTCTCACACCTGCTCCCTGGCCCCCACTGACCCTTGGTGGTTCTGGGTTCTGGCGTGGAAACCAGGTCCCTCCTTTATCTCCACCCTCACGGCAGCTGAGCTGGTCCCTCCACTCTGACAAGCCGGTCACTGGGCACATATGTCCTCCTGGTTTCCAGAAAGATGCCATGATTTGGGGATGCTGCTGTGACCTTGTGAGCGATTACTAAGCAGTTGCTAAATTATCCCCTTTCAAACCTTCTCACTGTCACTTTGAGGGGTTTCTAGGAAGCAAATGTTTTTGACATTTTAATGGATATTTGCAGATGCACATTCAACCATCTTGAACGGGAAGCCCCGGAAGTTCCCTGCCTGTGTGTATCCCAGCAGGATTATCTTCTACAAAATGGATTTTTTTTCCTCGCTAACAGCTTGCTCTCCACCCCTGAAGCTAGTGGTCTTAAGTCCTGGGCTCAAGCCAACCCCCTGCCGCAGCCTCCTGAAAGCCGAGATGGCAGGCGCCTGCCGTCAGGTTGGGTGAAGCTAGTGGTCTGAAATGATCACTCATGGTTCCAGTTCTCTGAAGCTCTTTGGCTCCCCCATTGGCTACCTCACATTTGTCCTTCAGATGTCCATGCAGGCTCTGGCCCCCGGGCTGAGTCCCTGAGCTCCTTCCACAGCCCCTCCGCCTGTGTCTCCTGCAGGAGGTTCTTGACTCTGCAGCTGGGGAGCTTCTCCTGGAGCCACCACACAATACCCACAAAGGGGGTCATGTCCCTCAGAGTAATAGCCGAAGTCCTCCTGGGGCTTCCGAATCTGCGTGACCTGCGCCACCCGTGCCCTCTGCTCTCACCAGCTACTCTTCTTCTCGCATCGGAACTGGCTGTTTCTTAAAACGGCCAGGCACCTCCTTGCTGTTTTCTGCCTAGAAACCCTCTGTGGCCACAGCCCCAGGTCCCCCATGTCTGGCTTACTTGTCCCTTAGGTCTGACTCCAGTGCTGCCTTTGCAGCTTCCTATTTTAAACAGCACCCCTCCAGGTCCTCTGCACCTCCCGTCTTCACGGCACTTTCCCGTAGAGGTCAGCACTGTCCAGCTTCCCAGCCCCCACCATCCAGCAGACTGTGACCAAACCCACTAGTGCTTGTTGCCTCCCAGTCGAGTGCAACCCCAGGAGCCTAGGGGTGTCTGTCTGCTTGATTCACGGCTCCAGCACCTAGGACAGCGCCTGGCATACACAGATACATGTTGAATAGTTACTGGGTAAGTGCATTAAGTGTCTTTGTCAACCTCTGGAGTACTCCTAAGAGTTGGCAGAGTCAACACAGAGTCACCTGTATTGAAATCTAACCAAAAACAGACCAGTAGGGTAGCCGGTGGGTGTGAGGATGGAATCTCCAGCAAGGCGCTGCTATGGCTTGGAGGTGGTTTGAGTCTGTCCCCTGGAAGCGCATGTGCTGGCAGCTAGGTCCAGTGTGGCCGAGTGATGGCAGCCTTAAGGGGTGGGGTCCAGGCAAGATGACTCGGTCCTGGGGCACCACCCTTGAGGGATGAATGCTGCTCTTGTTGAGTGACCAAAAGGAATTGCTACGACAGGAGCAAGCCTGACCTTGGATTCTCCTTGCTTTCTCTCTCACCATGTGACTTCTTTCTCCCTCTCACATGTGCTACCACCATGTTGTAATGTAGCCAGAGGCCCTCACCGGGGGCAAGATTCACGGAGCCACCCAATTTTGTACTTTCAGTCTCCAAAATGATGAAACTAAAGAAACCTCTTTTTAAATACATCACCCACCTTCTGGTGTTTTGTTATAGCAGCAAAAAACAGACTAACACACCTGCTTATGATAAAAACTAAACAAGGACTCTCTGAAGTGCTCTAATGCACATATGCTGATAACCAAAACTTCCCCCAAGGACTTTCCAAACTGCAGCTTGCTACATGAGTCACCAGGACAGCTAATTGGATGTACAAGAGCACTTTCCTGATCCGCTGTCTCCACTAGTGAACTGATGCCAACTCCTGGGATGGGCCCTGTGACCAATGTTCTCTTTGTCTCAAAACAAATTACGTATATTCCTGTCTTTTTGCTTTTAAAAGTTTCTCTTGCTTCAGCCTCTCTGGACATGCCTTTGGTCCTCCCAGGACACCAATATCTGGGCTATAATCCTTCTGCTCACTCCTGAAAAAACTCATTATCTTTGGAAAATTTCCCTGGTTGTTTTTAGCTTATCACACTCAAAATTGCATCCAAATCACTTAAAAAAAATAAAAGAGAGATGGGGATCAATTCCTTCCCATTGAGCACAGCATTTCTCAAGTTTTTCTTCATGCCTGTCTCCCTAAAGAGCCTTTTTAGACTTGCTTCCTATCTGCACCCCAAATCTTAACACCACAGGTATCTGCATGTCTGTTGATGTTCTGAACGTGGATCTGTGTTTTATATCTAAAGAGAGTAAAATGTTTGCAGTCCTGGAACCAACTTTTGCCCTCTAGAGGACATCATGCATGCTGAGACTGTGTGGCTTAGCACATCTGGGTATTTCAAGAACTCTCAACAAACCAAAACTAGGATTTTTTTAAAAAACAGAGATATGCAGCTGTTTTATGATGGAAATGGAAACTCACAGGTCTAAGGACAAGCTTGATTCCTGTGTCGTGTTTATGCTTGATGACACTCCCAGTACTTATGCATGTGCTTCATGCCAGCCATGCATAACACCCCACCCACCACCTTGATTGACTGGTACACCTTCACAATCTCAAGGTGACAGAAGTATGTGTCCTGCTGTAGCGTACAGGCCTGAAATTTGATAAAACATGAAAGATGTCAGAATGTGCGTTGTGTATGTTGGTGTTGATGGGAGGGCTGTGTTTGGTGACGTCATTATCACCTCAGCTCCTAACAGGGCTGGCTCTACAGGGCCAGCTCCCCTTGTCTTAGGGGAGCAACCTGACCACCCTACCCTACCTGCCCCATCACCTTTGAAATAATATGACTTACCCCAGCGTGGTGGCTCATGCCCGTCATCCCAGTAGGCTGAGGCAGGAAGATTTTGAGTTCAAAGCCAGCCTCAGCAATTTAGTGAGGCCCTAAGCAACTCAGCAAGACCCTGTCTCTCATAATATATAAAAAAGGGCTGGAGAAGTGGCTCAGTAGTTAAGTATCCCTGGTTTCATTCCCTAGTAACAAAATTAATGAAATAAAATAATGAATAATATGACTCATGTACTTACCTGCCTGTTGCTACCTGTGTTCTCAAATTGGAGGGTCAATGGAGCAGGGTCTTTGTGATGTTTGTAGCAACAAAAGCAAGGAGTACAGAGCCTGGCCTGTCGTTCTAAATATTCCTTGAGCCATGAATGATAAAGAGCCCACAGGTAAAAAACTTTAAAAATGGCCAGGGAAACAGAAAGTCGATCCAGCAGAAAACACTGGAGAACTAGGAGAAATGCAAACTGCTTAAAGAAGGTTTTGTTCTGGATTCAACAACAACAACAACAAAAAAAAAACGTGGGAATAGAAAATTCAGAGAAGACATGTAGACGGATTTCGGGGTGAGTGCTTAAGTAGTATGGGGACAAGGTGGGGTGGCAGCCAAGGTCAGCATGTCACTCTCTGGGAAGACCCAGTGTTTAGGTGGCTGCCTGTAGTCACGGCAATGGTGGGGGCTTCTGGGTGGAAGGATGGACACCTGTCCCAAGTTGGGCCACCCACAGTGCTCTGCTCTCTGACGGTGCTGATTGATCCCAGGTCATGTGACCTGTCCAGAAAAATTGGGAAACTTTGAAATGGGAAAATATATGTTTGAAATGGGCAATCAGACATCTTCCAGAATTATCTGATTCTAAAGGAGTCTGTGTCTTTCACTGACTTTCATTTTATTCCATTTTTAAAGATTAAAGTTAACTGTGGAGAGCTGATAGTGATGCAAATTATTTCGTTTCATAGAAATGCATAAAAGAAAAAATGTGTTTGGTCAAATTGCAAGTGATTACCATTCCCTGCAGAAGAAGTCGGTTTGGCATCTGTTAGCTGCTCCTTCTCAGCTTTCCCAATCACATGATGTGTGTCTGTCCTTTGGATTCACATTTGAACTTGGTTTTTCCACTTCACTGATTCTCTCATTCATTAATTGGGTAAATAGAAAATCTTTGGCCTGTGTATGTGAGTTTTTATTCAGAAACAACAACTAAACCCTGACAGTGATCCTTTAACAGAACCAAGCAGAACCAAATGGAATTCTGGAGAGTTTGATGCCATGATGTGCAGTCAGCAGAACCCAGTCTGAGGCTGGGGGAAACTGAAACTGACATTGTAGGAGAGTCTGACATGAGAGAGAGAAGCTCCTGGAGGCGTGGGAGTCTAGCCCCTTGTGTCTGTGAGCTCGGGGTGTGGCCCCACTTACTGCTCTGGTCTGAATGTGCCCCCCCCCATCCATAGGTTCAAACTTAATCACTAATGCATTGGCACTGAGAGGTGGGGACTGTGGGGACTTGATCAAGCTGTGAGCACTCTGCCCTCAAGGACAGGACCAGTGCTCTTATGCACAGGTGGAAGGGAGCACCTAGTCTCTCCTGCCCTTCTGTGTTCCGCCACAGAGGTCATCACATGGAGGCACTGTGGGTGGCTGCAGCCCTGGCCAGGCATGCACTCTGCTGGGATCTCGGACTTCCCAAGCGACAGAAGTAAATTTCCATACATTATTCCATCTGAGGTATTTGTTACAGCAGCAGGGCCAAGTGGAGGCTTCTATGGTGCCTACCAAGTGTCACAATGAACTGGCCTTTCATCTGAGCTACTGCAAATCGGTTTCCATCAACTGTAATCAAGTAGCTCACCACAGAGCTCTGGCATTGTAGGAAGACTGATGAGAGCAGCCACGTGACATTGCTAAAACCCAGCAGGACGGCTGGAACTCGGCCAGCAGCAGATGTCCACGCAGACCCAGGTCCTGCTGCCAGAGAGAGGAGCGAGGCTTCCAGGCAGGGGAGAGTGGGTCTGGCAAACGCACTGCCTGGCCACAGCAAGGCTTGAGCAGCAGGGAGCTGGAGGCAAGGGTGAGCCGACGTCCGGAGGGCAGAGGCCTAACATGTGCGCTGCCAGCGAACCGGAACAGAAGCATGTTTGAGGCCATCTTCCAGCAGCGCCTGACACCGCAGAGGACAGGGGAAGGGCCACTGCCAGCCTGACTGCCCTCCTCCCTCCAGGGGTGGGCCACCCCTGTGCTCCCCCTTTACAGGCCTGGACCCAGGAGCAGGGGCCCCTTGAGGCCTCAGAACAACTTATCATTTGCTCCCAAAAGTTCAGAATTGGGTTTACCTTCATTCCTACCCTGGGTTCTTCATAGTCAACATTGCCAACATTGTCAAAAGTAAAAACTGTTTTCCTGAACCTTTATACCTTGTCCCTGGGAGAACTCTTATCACACAGTAAGTATTTCACAATATTGTGGAATAAATGCATGAAATTGGGTAAGTTCCCCCCCTCCAGAAAGAATTGAAGATGAACAAAGCTACCACAAGAAAAAGCAAAAGGAAGGACTCAGGGCTTTGACAGACCGCAGCTACCTTAGAGCAGCAGTGGGTCTCGAGAGCGCCCTCCTTCCCCTATGGAAATTCCTGGTGATGGGTGGGCGGGATAGTGCCCTCTTCCCCAGGCTGCTTTCCAAAAGCCTTTATTACGCCCAGACACGTGCGGCCCGCGGCCTCGGGCAGTGGAGAGAGGCCAGAGTTGAGTCCACAAGCTTGGAACGGGGCTCAGCAGTGGGTGAGCCACGCCACCTGGGGGGCGGGGCGCCTTCATCTCCCTGGGCCTGGGGTTCTTGTGCACAGAACGGGAATGTCACCTGCTCCAGAGCCTCACGGGTTAAAGGCCTGGTCCCCAGCCTCCGCGCTACTGCAGGGGTAGAAACATCAGCAGGCGGGGCCTCGCGGAAGGGGCGGGGCCTCGCGGAAGGGGCGGGGCCTCGTGGAAGGGGGCGGGCCTCGCGGAAGGGGCGGGGCCTCGCAGAAGGGGGCGGGGCCTTGAGGGGCTGTGGGGACTCCAGCTGGGCTCCTGGTCAGGATGTCCTCACCTCAGCGGGGGCCAAAGCGCCAGGACCACGTACCTATGGACTGAAACCTCTGACGCTGTGAGCTCCGGTAAAGCTTTTCCTCCTTTTGATTTTTTTTTTCCAGCCACTTTGTCACAGGGACAGAAAGCTGATTGACACGCCATGTGATGATCCTGACAGGTGCCCCTCGCCCAGCTGGGGACGACAGATGAGAGCCCGGGAGCGCACCTGAGTCTTGGGGCACTCGGCCCCTGCTCAGCCGGCCTCCGGGCGTCAGCCTCCAGGAGGAGGCAGGCGTTCCCCGCGTCTCCTTTCCGATCCTTCAACTCTGTTCAAATCGTCTCACAGGGAAACGGGGCCAGCTGGGAGTCTATTCAGAGGGCTGGTCCCACGCGCTGAGACATAGGAAACAGCCCACGTGGGTGACAGCAGCTGGGTGGCGAGCCCGGGCAGGCCTCCCTGCTCCCAGCCTCCCACCCTCCCAGCCTCCCACTTCTAGAAATTTCACCTTGCTCCTTGCCCGCCCCCCATCAGGGAGGGCACCTCTGAGCCAATCCGCCAATCACAGCACAGAATCCACCGCCCAGAGAAGGCCACTCACCTGCTCCGCAGCGCCCAGCAGAGACAGGTCCCTGAGCTGCCAAAAGGCGGTGGTGGTTGTCTGTTGTCTCAGGGATTCCGTGAAGCAACGCAGGCAAACTGCGGCCATGTTACTGCCTCTATTACTGTCATCATCATCATCATCGTCATCATCATCATCAAGGTATTGTTTGTGGGAGACCAACCTTACACTGACTGAGTCACACTCACACTCCCCGGCTGGGTGCTGAGGCGCTCAGTCGCAGAAATGTGGCAGAACTTTCCCCACCCTTCCTGGGTTCTAAGGTCGGTGTCTCGTGCATGGGTGTGTCTTGCTACAGCCCATGGGTGAAGCTACGCTCACCTGTTCCTTTGTAATATAACCCCTTGCCCTGTTTAGGATAGAATCTTCCATGGAAGTGCCTTGTGTGTGTCCCCTCCTCTTACTGTGCTCTTGGGTGTGGCCTACCCAGGTGTCAGTCAACCTGCTGACAGTGGACATCATGAAGACAGACTCAGCCCCCTGAAACCTGACCCCTTGCCTCATTTGAAGAGCTTCTCCTCAATAAAAGGGGTCAGCGTGCTCTCACTCTCTCTCTGCAGATCTTTAAGGTCTGAGGAGGCGTCACAGTGACCCCAAACAAAAAGGTATTTGTGTCTCTTGTGTGGTTATTTTTGCAGCCCAGTTAACCCAGTTCAACTGGAGTGACCCCTGAGCCTTTTAGTTGAGAGAAGAGAAACCCGGCAATTGTTTTGTTTTGTTTTCTGTTAGCATACTTTGCCAGGATGACAGGAACCGAGAATACCACTCCCTGGGCACTGAGAGCTCTGGCAGAGGTGCTGTGACAGGGAGCAGGTCCTATACAGGGACTGGGCTTCTGGTGACAGCTGACCCTGTGGTGGTCCCCCTTCCTGGCTCTCCACGGGCACCATGGTGTCTGTCTGCCCACCTAGGGTCCCTTGCTGTGTGTACTGCCTGTCCTGAGCCTTCCTGGAGGGCAGCTGATGCTGCCTGGTGACAAGTGGCCACAATGCCTGTGAGGCAGGTGCCACAAGGCCCCTTGTCTGGCTGCCCCAGCTCCCAGGCTCTCCTGCTCCTGGGCCCCTTTCTAAGGGCTGCAAAGACCCAAGCCTGCCCGCACCTGCCCACGTCTCCCCCAGCAAGGAGCCGGGTCCCACGGACAGGCACATGCAGCGGCCAGGGGCCGAGCAAGCAGCAGCACGTGAAGGTCTGTCCTTCTTCCCTCCTCCTCCTCCCTCTTTCTCTCATTGCTCCTTCCCTCCTTCTCTGCTCCCCCCCTCCCTCCCTCCACCAAAGCCACAGGTAGATATAAACCACACAAATGGTTGCCGGATGAGTAAACATGGGACAGCCAAAAAGAGCCGGTGACAATCCTAAATGGCCCTGCGTGGAAGTTGCAGCAAGCGCGTGTGGAGGTGGCGAGGGGGCTTCCTGCCAATGGAGGGGCAAATCCTGGCCTTTGGTCGTGAGCCCCATGGCCTGGAGCAAGCAGGCGACCCCTCTAAACCTACCTCCTTACAGAATGAAGTAGGCAGCACCCACCTGGGGATTCAGTGAGCTACTATGGGAAGAGGAACAGAATCTCACTCATGTGAAGTGCTCCATGGGTAGAGGTCACAGCCCTCCTCTCAGGAGACCCGGGGCATCGCTGATGCACATGGTGTCAGGGCCACAGCCTCCCAGAGAAGCCAGGAGGGAGGCCGTGGCTCCGACCACCGTAACTCCTCCCCGACTGTCAAGGCCCTCCCTGACAGCAGCACTGCAGTGACAGTGACCAGCAGGTCCAGAGAGGTCATCTGCTCCTGCTAAGGCCTGAGAGGGTGGCGAAGCCTCACTGACCAGCCACAGGACAAGCTCTCCTGGCCCTCAGTAGGCCGAGGATGACAAGGTGAGCTGTGACTCAGTCTCATGGGGACTGAGCCGGACTCTGAAGGATGTCCTGGCCAAGCTGGTCGCACACGCCCACCCCATCCCAGAACTGGCAGGAGGAGGAACGATGTCTAAGCTCCCCCTGCCCTTTACCATGCAGGTGAAGGGAGGGAGCCACCTGTCCCTGGTCCCCATACCCTCTGTCATGGGGAGTAGTTGAGCCTGACGGAGAGAAGAGGCCCCCAGGAGGGAAGGCCTGGTCCTGGGGTTCTGCTGCTTCTCGCCTGCTTCACCCCAAAGATGCTGCTTCCACCTGCAGGGGCTGCTCGGGGCTTCCCAGGTCGAGCAGAGACACCAGGCACGGCCGCCTGCTGTGAGCACAGGTCCCCCACTGACTGCCCTGAGGACCAGGTGGGCCTGGAGCGATAATCCTGAGAGCGTTTGTTCAGGGAGAGCTCCCCAGGGTGTGTGATAGGAGGGGCGGGCACACGGGAGCACACACGGGGTTATGGGGCTGGGGTCACTCTGGCTGACTCTGAGCGGGTTGGCTGCAGATGCGAGGGATGCGAGGGACGCTGGGTAAGCCCTAAGCCTCTCAATCTCCACTTCTGATCATGTGACCACTTAAGCAAGATTGCTGAGCCGTGTGCCCAGTGCGGCCTGGCCCTCCTTCCTTCTCTCTGCAAGTTCCCTTCCTTGGTCTCCCTACCTCGTGCTGATCTTTAGAAACCACGGTTCTGCCTTGCTGTCCCCAGCTCAGACATCTTAGGGGCTCACAGTCCTTGTGATGACATTTGAAACTGTCTCTTCAGTGTTCCAGGCCCTTGTCTGTTTGGTTGAGGCCTTGTGCATGTTTCTGATCTTGGCTCACAGCCCTGCTGGCCCCTGGCACTCTGTGTCCCTGTCTTGCTTGCATACTTCCATAGCTCCTTGGTTATATTAGTCCATTTCACGTTGTTATAATGAAATACCTGAGACTGCATACTCATTAAAGAAAAGACGTTTATTTTTGCTCATGGTTCTGGAGGTCCAAGGTCAAGGAGTTGCATCTGTCAGTGGCCTTCTTGCTGGCAGAATTCCAAGGCAGTGCAGGGCATCACTTGGCAAGAGACCGCGAGTGCACTCATGGGTCCCCTCTGATCTCTCCTCTTATAGAGCCACCAGGATTCAAGGATGACTCCACCCTTCTGACCTTATCTAATCCTGATCCCTCCCCAAGGCCTCCCTGAACACCGTCCTTGTATTAAGTTCCCTCTCTCTGTGGGAGCCTGGAGCACCATCACCCAAACCCAAACCACAGCAGGTCTTTGCTCAGGGCACCTGCAGCACCCAGAACACCCCTCTGCATTCTCGCCCTGAACTCAGGCTGCAAAATCATGTGACCTTTGTCAAAGAATGTCACACCTCTGTGCCCCACAGTATACCCCTCTGTAAAATTACACCAAATGCCAGTCCCCACTTCAGGGGTCGTGGTGGGATGAGCTGATTTAGAGAGTGCTCGGTGTTCAGGACACCACTGCCCGCCTGCACGGGACACCCTGACTCATGCCCACCCACTCCTGGTCACACTCGCCTCCCCCTCCCCTGGACGCCACAGTCCTGAGCCTGTCTCCCCCCAGCACTGTCCTGCTGGCCCACCATGATCCTTGTGCAGGTTGACTCCCTTGGTTCTGAGAGGGGAAGTCATGCACTCCCAGCACCTGTGGGAAAACGGCAGGATTGAAGTGGGCAGGGGCAGGTCAGCCTCCTGCAGACCCCTGGGCTCAGAGAGGTCGTGTCCATATGAAGCAGGGGTCAGGGGGCCCTGGGGCTGAGCGGCAGCAGCATTTGGGAACACCAAGTGCAGCACTTGGCCCCGGGAGGACACAGTGGTGCCTCCTTTGTACCCACGTGTACCCACATGTACCCACAAGGAGATTGGAGGCTTTTCTTTTTACCTTTTTTTTTAAGGCCTCTGGAATCAGTGTCAAGATCAAGGTCTCTGAGGACGCCGTGCTGAGTTTCTCAAGCCCACAAACGTATGTTCCAGGAGTTGTGAGGGGGGCCTGGAATCTGTCTAAGGACAGTGGTACTGTCCCCTAAAGTGGTAGCTGAGGGAGCTTCCAAGGTCCAGACTGCAGGAGACCGGGAGGCCAGGTGGTCCTTCAAAGGGCCCCTTTCCCTGGGGCAGCCAGAGGGGCAGCCAGGCCCATGGGAAGACGTCTAGGAGGCAGGTCTGGGCTCTACCTTTGGGATCCCCTGGAAGCAAATCCTGAGACAAGGATCAGTGACAGGATAAATCACCGGGGAAGCGAGCAGAGCGGGAGGCAGCTGTCATGGAGCTGACCAGGCAGGAGGGCTGCTGGGAGCTCCCAGGATGCACAGCAGAGCTCTCCCACCCAGCGGGCAGGGACCCGGTGTCCTTAAGCTTCTTTCCATCTGGGACAACATGAACGGCCATAGGTGTCCCCTGATTCTTTTTTCTTTTCCCATATCTCCCATGGCTGGATAATACACTTATTTTTACGTAGGCAAACTCAGAATTCCTGCGTGCCAGTTGTTGCTGGGCCCTGCAGAGGGAGAAGGCTGATGGTCTTTCTCCAGCAACTGCCAAGCCTTGGGTGATCATGCTGAAAAGACCCCTTTGTAAAGCTTTGTCAGAGTAAATCTTAGGTTCTCTATATTTGCCTGGACCACGACATGGGCTGGGCCACAGTGTGTGTTTGATTCCTTTTCTGGAAGTGCTGGAAACCTCCAAAGTACAAAATTTATTGTTAGGCTTAGAAAGAAAGGGAATTGCTGGTTGGGCTCCAGTGCTGAGCTTCTTTCCGGGACCTTGGCACAGGTGCAAGAGCCAGCCAGGGGCCCTTGCTGGTGAAGTTCTCAATGAACCCAAGGCTGAGTTATGCTAATTGTTTAAGGTTTAACAGATGAATTAAAAGTCATCCCAAACATCCAGTGAGCCAAAGCAACGTTGACCAAAGGTTAAGTACCTAGATGGGGGTGATGGCTGCCGAAGCCAGGGACCCAAAGAAGAGGCTAACACAGTTGGAGAGGGCTGGAGGAAAGGAGGCAGAGATGACGAAAAGTTTAGTATCTGCATTCTTTTTGGGGAAAAGAAAAGAAGCTCAATGGCTGAAGTAAGGACTTTTGTGAAGATCCAGGGTGGGAATTGGGAGATTTGTGGAAATCTGGAATCAGGAGCTATAACTCATTAAGAAAAAGACAACTGTTGAGAGCCACAGCCGAAGGGGCCCCAGCAAACTTCCAGCTGCCAGCCAACTTCCAGCTGCCAGCCAATGATTGGCTCACAGCGCCCCAGCAAACTTCTAGCTGCCAGCTGATTGGCTCCTCTACGGTAATGCTCATTGGGCTGTTTCCCCGCCCTTTCAGACCACGGAGCTGCTCATTGGGGGACTTTTTATGGCTCCGCCCATGCGACCCAGCCAATTGGCCTCAAGAGCAGGAGGAGTGGGGGGGAGGGGTTGAGAGGCTTGTGGGAAGCCGGTGGTGGCAGTTGGGCTCTGAGGGTTTTCCTGAAGAGCTGTGTGGTGTGGTGTGTGTGTTCTAAAAATGAAGTTCGTTTCTGCTTGATAAATGGCTCCTGAATTGTGCCCAGCCAGACTGTGGCAGACAACCCAGGTTAAAAATGGGTGAAAGACCTGAATAGACATCTCTTCAAAGAAGATGCATGAATGCTCAGTGAGCACAAGAAAAAACGCTCAGCATCATTAGTCACTAGAGAAATGGAAACCAAAGCCACAGCGAGGTGCCACCGTGG